ACCAGTCAATCTGGTCCGGACCCCCCGAATGATCTCGCTAAATAGCCCGGGTGTCCACGCGCTGGAAATGTTTTAGTGCCGACAGACAAGACGCATGGTTCCCCATAACCATTTCGAATAGGGCTAATACGAGCCCGCGAACCCAAATCCCGCGGAACACGCCAAGAATTAGTTCCCTCGATCTTGGTCACTTGCCTCCTGGACCATAAATTCCGGCCAGAATGGTTCCTACGGTAAGAGCCAAGGGCACCCACGCGATCCCATCCACCCCTGACTAACCTAACCGTTACTAACCTTAACTTACCTAGCTGTCAGATCAATATAGATATACCACGAGGATACCATTGAGAACGAAGAATTATATTTGTCCTGAATTTGAACTCTTGATAATTTATTAACTGATAACAGACGCAAACATTTTTCCTGAATTGCAATTTCAATCTAATTAGGAGTGGCTACATTTTTTCTTCGTATTGTAATTTAATATTATTACGGAGGGAATATATGGCAATTATTAATAATTATTATAGCGGTATTAAGTCATATGCTGCTAGTCAGGACAAAATTTACGGTAATAACTTTGTGATACGTGCTGAGGCTAGACTGTAAAGTGCGATCGCGGGTTTAGAAAGGGTTGTAAAATAAACACATCCCGCGGATTCATTTCCATTCCTAAAACCTATCTCTTGCTACCCTCGTAAAGCAGTAGCACTTCTGCGCGTATATCTGCTCGGACTGCCAACACGAATTCCTGCTTGCTTCTGCTATGTTGGGAACTGACTTCTCCCCTTTTTTTTTTTTTTTTTTTTTTTTTTTTTTTTTTTTTTAATATTCTACCGCGTTATTGCGACGCTTGGATGTGTTTACGAGAGCCGTGATAAATTTGTATGTAAATAAAAAATTCTTGGCTTTGCATGATCTAGGAAAAAGGAAAGCACCGCGTCGTCCAGACTTTAAGTTTACCTCGCGTATCGCACACACCATCTCAGCATTAAAGGTTAATCATCAAGCTCGCACGAGCAAACTTTCACCTTGCATTTTTTACGTAATCTTGGTACATATATATATTTTTTTACAACTTTCAGATAAACTATCTACGAGTTAACTGCGCAGCACCCCACCGCTTAAGACTTTTATTAACCTTATCACGCACAGATCCAATTAGAGTCTCTCTTTATTTCCATTTCATTTGCCAATCTAAGATATTATTTCAAAATTTTTTTTTTCACAAAATAATATTATAAACTTTTAAACAGCCTTGTTGAAATGATAACGATAAGTTTTTCCCCGCAAAGTCCATATCGTGAGGGATGCTTATAAAGTTGACCAGAATCAAAATTGTAGTCTTCAATTGATCACTGGGGTTAATCTGATGTATGAAAGTTATCTGAAATATCTGATAATTAAAAGTTACTATGAAGGATTCGATTTAGTATACCCCCATCCCCGCTACCTGCGGCTATAAATATTTTCCGATGAAATTACATTTAATAAGGGAAAGTTATTAGATATACTGTTATATACGCGGTAGGATGCTGGAATGATGGAAAGGTACCGTGGGAGGGACCAGGGTGAGCTATAAGGGCGTTTAGGGAGTGGAGGATCTTGCAAATAATACAAGGCGAACAGGAGAAGAGATTTAACCTGAGCTCCGTACTCTATTTTAATTTACACCGATATGCCACTTTATTACCCTGCCAAATTGCGCCAATAAACAAAGCAGGGCGGCACGCGAAATAACTTAATAATTAACCAGCCGAGTATGACTTAGCAACATATACCTCGTACCATTTGCATAATCAATTCGAGAGCTAAATTCGTCCGCGAGTATCGTCTAATAGTATGCATAATCTTATACGGAAAAAAAAAAACAGAAATACAGAAACAAAAATTGGAATCAAGAGAATTTTGCCCGAGACACCATTAACGACCTTTCTCAATATTACTCTGTTCCGTATAATCTCCCGTAGCACGAAGTTTTCCAATATTAATACAGTAAAAACAAAAAAAAATGGTCGTCAGTGTTTGACGATGAAAAAAAAACAGGTAAAAAACCTGAAACCTCCGTTTATTAAAACGGAAAAAAAAAAGAAGAAGAGAAATAACAAAATTTCCACGGGGAATAGCCAGTAACTGAGATTCGCAGTCAAAGAGAAGAATGACGTCACTCAATATAACGTGACAGAGGATTTTTCGTTAAAAATTTCCAATCGACGATGTCACGATATTCGCCGAATAAATTTTGCTGATTAATTTTCGTGATAACGATTAAATTAAGTGCATGACCTTTTCACGTTTTGGCTGTAATGATACGCGAAGTACCGCGATTACGTTGATAAGCGTATAAATTATTATTATGCTACAACAAATTGCGCGCTATGATTTAATTTGAAAGAAAAATTGTACAGTGCCGTTTATCGAGTTACGTAACTGATAAACTATTGATAAAAGATAAGACGGCCGGTGGGTAGCTCGTATCTCCTTTATCAGACCATAGCTAAGCAATTTCATAGTTATCGTTTGGTCTCCGGACCCTTACCGGTTACGAAGCACTCGTAAAGGCATAGATGTCAGTTTAGTATTTTCGCGCTGCCACGTTGGTAATATCGATTCTAGGGTTTAACGCTCCAGCGAACCATGAATGTGTCGCGGGAAACGCAATGTTTTCTATGACTTCCAGTGGGGCCAATAGTCAGCGCAGACTATATCACTTATACAGTAATTCCGAGTAGTACGACAATATACGTACACAGTGCATATAAATACGCATATACAGTAATACAATGAAATATGGGGAAAAAGAATTTACCAAAAATTTTGCTTTTTTTTTTTTTAAAAAAAATAAATATTACTGTACTACCCAAGTATCATCGCGCACTACCTTTTCTGCTTAGCCCAAGAGAAACTTAAGAATCGAGTCTGATAAAATTTACATGCAAACAAAATTTTCACGAGGTTTTCTCTTATCTCTCCCTGCACCCTTTTTCCTAAAGAATTCCTTCGCTCCTGTTATCACGTTCGTAAACAGCGACTCTTACTCGAAACTGCTTTATTCGCGGAGGAGGCTCTGCGCCGCGCAAAGGTAATGCAAGTAACCGTCGACTGCATGATTATGCAAAGTGCTACGGGCAGCCTGACTGAAACAGGAGCATATACCGTATATATACAAAATATACATATACTGTATACTCAAAAGTTCAATCACGCCGCGCTGCAGCGCATAATGCCTTTAAGATTACTGGCTTATCCTCTATGCTATTAAGTGAGCATCCTACGTTCTGCTAGGTATGCGTCGTCTTACCTGTAATACTGAATTGACGTAAGGACGTCGGGAGGTGGGGGTGGGAGGGATAGGGGGATGCAATGAATAATTAATAAAATAATTAAAAAGACTTTGAGTCGTGAATTTTTGAACTTTGACCTTTTCGATAACATACGTCATACCACTTTTCCAAGCCTAAAGAACAACTTCAGAGACCGATAAGGCATCGCGACCTTTATTCTTGATAATGTCTGGCGACATTAAAAAGTCAAAAATAAAAAAAAGGAAAGGGGGCAGAGCTCATACTATAGTCCCCTATCTCTCTTTAGCTTAGTTAGTATTCCGCGCCGGTTTAGAACCCTCCTCAAGCAACCCCAGTAAATATTTGCTACGGTCAGTGCAATATTCAGTTCCAGCACGTTCGCCGTATTCCTTCTCTTTTTTTTTGTTGCTGATTTTTTTTAACCAGAGGGTACTCCTTTAATATTCCATAAATGACCAAGTGATAACGCACGGACTGCTGTACGGCAAATTGAGATTGGCGAATAATCGAGTAAACGTGAAGTTGTAATAAACTTAAAGTGGCACATAAAGATATACGTAATCGCTAATTATAAGAATTGATATCGAGTGAAATGCCGGCCGTGTTCTATTTAATTGTCGTTAAACCACGTTAAGGAATTTACGTGAAATACTTTTAGCCGCCGATACGGGAACTTTGAGCCTTCGTATCCGGGAGGCTCGACGCAAATGAAAATGCAAAGTCACTTAAGTTTACGCACCAAGTCGTTTCCTCGTCTCCCAAGGATCACGAAGGAATCTGCGGATACGTACAGTAGTTGACCCTCAGAATCTCCGGCTTAATCCTTGACCAACTTAAATTGGATTAGTAATCCGTGACTAAGGCTAAAATCCATCGAGTGACCGGCAAGAGTAACAGTCGAGTGTCCATCAGATTAAGCGGATAGGTTGATTAAGATATATATGCTGAATGAAAGGAAACAAAAAAAAAAGCTTAAATTAATTAGCATCGAAAAAATTACAATTTTTGTTACTGTATCGGAATAATGGAAATTAATATTTTTCACGTGTATTCCTAGGAAGCTCAAAGTTGCTGAAGGCTCAAGTCGAGATATTGTCATTCGAGTAGACTTCGGTATGGATTTCCGGGTACGTTGAACTTATCACCGAGTTTGCTTGTGCAGGATCAAAGAGCTGGAGAGCGAGAGAGAGAGAGAGAGAGAGAGAGAGAGAGAGAGAGAGAGAGAGAGAGAGAGAGAGAGAGAGAGAGAGAGAGAGAGAGAGAGAGAGAGAGAGAGAGAGAGAGAGAAATAGTAGTGTTTATCGTGCCACGGGAGAAAGAGAGAACGATGGACGAAGGAAATGAATCGAAGAGAGAGAAAATGAGAGAAAGAGAGAGAGAGAGAGAGAGGGAGAGCTTTTCAATCAATTAGCTTTTCAGCCGCGTCCCTTCATAGGTTCATCTCATTTAACCCAGGGTTTAGTCCAGGACCTCGTTAAGGGCTACAGATTACACTTTAATTGAGCTACTCGTCACAGGGTGTCACGTAATCGATGAAGTTCAGGATATTTACGAAAATTTTTACAAAACCTCCAATAAACGGGGTGAAAAATTTAATGAATTCACGATTAGGATCCCGCATCTTTCTCGTTAATAATTACTGATGCTTCTGGCTGATATTATATCCAAACAGCAATTTTGTATTTAAATACGTAGCTGTGTGTTGTGACTGGGCGCCCGCCGCGACGCGCGACCCTGTACGGCCCTGCACAGCCGGGGACTCGGCATTTGTATTTGGCTCGATGAAGTGACACCACGTGCGTTTCCCAAATGTCTGCAGTAAGTGGGACAGAGTGGGACAAAGTGGGAGCGAGTGGGACGGAGCGAGAGACAAGACCAAAGGGAAGAACGTCTGGAGCCACGTATGTAAGTACGAATTACATAATAGTCGCAACGAGACACGAAGAGATAGAATTACAAAAGCTTTCCCTTTACCCCTTGCAGCAACCTATATATTATTACGGGGATATATATATATATATATATATATATATATATATATATATAATATGGTTATGTTCCCAAAGATTCCCTGTCACGGATATGCTATGTAACTGCGGGTTCATGTTTCCTCTAATGGGTTGATGGTATTCCCGTTGGCTCAGCAAATGGCTCCTTAATGGCTACTAATTGCCGGGGAATTTGAAGAATTTCAAACGAATGCAAATCGAGCATCGATCTTTCGTACCGGAGGAAAGTTCCCGATCTCCAATTATCGCTACGCCGCTTCCCGTAGCTTTTAAAGTGAATTCAAGCAAATTTCATTAGCCAATCGATCGACTATTAAAATAATGTCAGATATTACATTTCCTTCCTGTGTACACTTTAAACTCAGAGTTAGTATCCATGTAGTATATATATGATGCTGCTACTACCCTTATCTGGGAGTACAATAACGTCAGTTATTACGTATATTCTCGATTTTGAATAATCAGTCCAGTGACGTCATTCTCTTCTGTCAGTCGACCCCTCCCCCCCCCTCCCCCCCTCTCACCATCCCTGTTGCAATCGCGCTCGTATTTTTAGCTATGGCAATCATGACCGCGCGTGACAGACAGAGACGGAAAAAGCGAGTAATAATGAAACTGAGAGAGAGAGAGAGAGAGAGAGAGAGAGAGAGACGCGGTGACTGGCACGAGGGAGAGTTGCTCGCAATTTTCTAATTAATTGCTTAATTTGGGCGAGATTGGGGCCGCGGGCGAGGTACCGTACTAAATGAATTAGCTTATGGCGGTGTAAGTTCCATCCCTCCCCTTCCGTTTTCATATTTGATTTGCGTTCGACGTAATAATATTTATTAACAATCTTTGAGGACTCCCCAGCGCGGCAAATTCGAAATTCGAATTAGCGTTACGTTCCTCCACGTTAGAGACGTTAAATCAATTGTCTCTGCTAATCAGCGACATATTATTCGCTGCACGTACGTCCAACGGTTAACGAACTGGTTAACGGAGACTTGGCTTTTTATCAAATGCTCGGGGGACTTAATGTTCGATTTGAATTATCCTCTGGTTATTACAATCTGGTATAGTAATCATATCGATGGCTGATTATTTCGTAACATCGGATATGAATAATCGCAAAGTTTGATTCCAAATTAAAACATATTATAAATATTAACTGTGACGAAAATTCGTGTAGAAATTTTCGGTTTTTTCAAAATTTTCGTTTCGTTTCCCATAAAAAGATTTGCCACTGCGAATTCAGACAGTCCAAAGATTCGCCCCCCGAAGCCCGGACCTTCGCTGACCAGAATCGTTCGGGTTTACGGATAGCGAGAGAATTCCGGAATCGATTTCTCCTCAATTCTCCAATTTTTTTTTTTGTTTCCCGTTCCCTACCCCCTCTCGTCCCTCCTTATCGCCCCCTTAATTCCTCACTTTCGGAAATTCTATTTACCCCAAAAACCGGAGCAGCGGCTCGTTCGAAATAATTGTCGGACAGAAGAAATACCTGACTGTACATTACTATGTCGCTGTTCAACCCCACTGCCTACCCTGACGTACTTTGTGAAGCAGCCCCCCAGGCTTTTGCGTAATACGCTCCTACAGAAATATACGTACGTACTTATACATATATAGGGTGGTTCGACGCGACCGACCGAGTCCCATGTAGACACTGTGTCGCCTTTGGGTTCCAGGGTGGAGAGTGGTGGGCGAAGGGGTCAGGGGGAGGCTAATACCCTCTTAAAGAGGGCAGCTTTACGGGTGAGTGGTTCCATTCACGCATTCGAAATAGGGGCGCAAGACACTCCGGAGGGTCAGTCCACTACATTATCGTGAAGACATACGTGATAAAATTCTTTATCAACCCCTTTGCCAAGTCGCGCAATACTGTATACAGTCGCCCTCGGAATCTATTAAGTGCTGGAGGGGATGCGCCGCATTTTTTCACTCTCCATCCCCAAACAGTGGCAGAGATTGCTTTTCGCTGAGAGAAATAGCCGCGACGGTCGAGGGGGGTGGGTCGAGAATGACCGAGGGGAGTATGAGGGAAAGGGGGAGGATGGGGGGGTCGCTAAGAGAAATACCAGCTAACTCAGAAATTCGAACAGTCGCATATATGTAGTTGCACGTACTGTACATACATCTGCTACGGACCTACATGGCTGTGATATATCTATATGTACCAATAAACCACCCCTATTGTATTTACGTAAAAGGGGGGTAGAAATCGCGTGAAGTATATTTCTGCTTTTCGAATTACCCCCGAGAATTCACCGTTTCAAATCTTCTCGGTCCGAACTTTTAAGGGGTGGTAAAAATACCCTGTTGTTTTCTACCCCTTAGACCTTCTAAGGGTTGACCGAGGGGTGGGACAAAACGTGGGCGGACTATCCCTACGCGTATCACGATTCACCCCCATGTTAGAAAAAACAATGTTACGGCTCCGGACTCACATGGATAAACTTGAGTGTCCCAGTAAATTTCATTAAGAGGCACCTGTCGCTCTTAATCCAGTTCAATTGTGTGCCTCGATGGCACTTTGCTCTTTTGGTCCATCGGTGAGGCTGGGTGTCTTCGATCTCGAGATATCTTGGCGCCTTTAACGTCCCTTAGATACGTGGGTACGTTTTTATACGTCGTGGGGAAATCAAAAAACCTTCTTAATCTATGTAATATCGGCTATAACACGTTCCTGGTAATTTGCCAATACGATATACCCGGTACTAGCTAACTACTGCTGAAAGCGTATAACTTCTTTCGTATATCCAAATTATATATCATTGTTATCGTTATTATCGATCCAAGATAAATTACAGTAATACGGTATTTTTATTACGGTGTAAATCAAACGTGTAACTACGTTCTTTGCGTTCTTTCCTGCTGTTCATTATTTTTTTTTCAATGATATTTAGAAATTGCGTAAAGATATAGCGAGACTCTAATAATTACTCTTGAATAAAATATACGTCGTAGTAAACTTTTTTTACCTGATGTAACTGCCTCTATGCATGGATAATCGCAGCTCGTTTTATAGCCAAGGGAGAAATTCAATTTTAAACTGCATTGCCACTTAATACATATTTTATCAAGGGTCTATGTCCCAGTCGTGTCCTCCGCCTTGGTAGGAATATTTATTGTGCAATTTATTTACTTACACGACGAATGGGAAAGTTGGCTGGTAAGTAAAAAAAAAAAATTATTCACAGAGACTACGAGACTTGACAGTTTTTTTTATTTTTTTTTTTTATTCTATTAACAAACTTTTTTTGCAAAATTAATTTGCTCATTACTCACGTCTATCGATGAACCGGAAGTTTCCGGAGAAACCGGTACTGTTAACCGGAAGTCCCTCCGTGTGAAACTCCAGGACCAGCATGCGACCGGAACTGTATAGTACTTGAGGAACGTCTGCCAATGTCCCACAGAGTAATCCTGACCAGGGTGTGTATTCGGACACCCCGTTGTTCTCCAGGTGCAAGAAAACTTTAAGGAAGTCGCTCTTGGAGCAACTGAAACAAAGGGAACGAAATTGAAGATTTAATATGTATATCAACGACCCATGATAATATTACTAGGTAATATTGGCACACCCGATAAATTGAGGCGGTATTTCATTTTTTTTTCTTTTTTTTTTTTTTTTCATTTTTTCCAATAGATTATCGGAATTGGCTTTATTGCTGCGCGAAGCATCCTCGGTATTCCTAATTGCCTATAACCTCAATAGAAATTACCTGACAATGACCAACGCGGCCACCATTTATGGAAACAACGTGTGTTTTATCCTGAGTTATGTGCAAATTATGAATTATTTGATTACACGGTATAAATGAAAATTCCTATGACGTGTATGACCTCGTATTATTTTGATTAAAAAAAAACAAATTATTGTATCAACCAAAAACTAATCAAATAGCCATGAAAATTTAATCGTTACCGAGTATTTGCCTTTTGATTAAATACGTAAATTTTTTGATTTTCAACAATTGCCCAATTAATTTCGACTAATGGACGGTGTACTCTTTTTAATTATACAGTCATCGGCATACGTCCATTAGGTATTATTTTTCAGTCCCGTTAACTCCCGATGTACCCCACGTTATTATTTCGGAATCACCCAGTATGTCGACGTTTCACAAACGCCACTTTATTGACCTCGGGATAAATGGCGTTACAGCGTGCACTTAATGTACTTAGAAATTGCGCAATTGGTTTAACCCTTTGACCGGGAGCTCTCTCGGTACCACGAGCGCTGCAAGAGAGAACAGCCACGTAGCGAAGCCGCCGTTTGCCTTTAAAAATAGCCCCGCGTTAAACTGTAATTTAATATTCATTCGATTAAGCCGATAATTATTTTACAAACTCATTCTCTCCAGTATCCACGTGACTATCGAGCAATTTTATACCAAATTGCCAACCAATTAATCTTTTTCGACAGGAGAGTAGACAGGAGGGGGAGGGAGGTGGCCGAAAAAATATTGAATCAGGTCGTCCATTTATTACGTAAAGAAGTAAATAAATAATTTTTGAATTACGTTAATGATTCATATCATAATGTATCTCAATTATGATTACGCTATTCTTCAAAAGTTTGAATACATTCCACCTTCTTACGAGACCCAAGAGACACAGGAATACTTGAAGCATAAATAAAAGATACATTCCCAGGACTGTACCATTGTTAACATAACCCTTCCATTTATTTCGACCGTGTAATTTCGAAGTACAATAGAAAATCTCTTGGCCGTGTAAAATCGTCATTGTAGCCATATACTGGGTGCACAGACGAGTCATGTACCAGGATCACATGGGAAGTATATAAACGAACAGAAATAAATAATACGTATAATTTTCCAGCTACCATTACAATGCACCCCCCGCTAACCCACCGCGTTACTTTTGCCATCCAATTAATCACCGAGCAATTTATCAGAAAAATAGGCGAGAAACGTGACAACGTGACAACGTCACAACGTCACCCGTAGCGCACAATGACATAAATCAAGAATTAAGAATGATATCCATCACGATCCCAGGGATGCTGTCCCATATCGCCGGTCAAGTTATCGGAGGGATCCCTGAGGGAAGAAAGACAAAAAACGTCTGACTCTTGATTTTTGCAACAATGACGACCATCCAGTTTTGGCCTTGACAGATAAAACTTACGTCCTAAGATAGCAGCACGTCGGTTCGATCTCGCCGCGGCGTAGCCGTCCGGTCGTCCTCGGTGCTGACCAAGGGACACGGGTTCGTTTCTTCCAATTCCAATTGACGTCCAATCAATTCTTCTACATCGGCGCGAGCGGAAAAACCAAGGCTTACAGTGAACTTGGATGAAGCTACGTAAGCTTACGGGACTGTTCTTGGCTCTGGCAAAAGAAATCTTACCTGCTACTCCTTCGAGATTAACTTCAGACCGGACCTTGTTTTTTTTTTCCCTATACAGTCTATGACGAATAACTCTTGGGTGGCTACGTCATTCTGGACGTAAGGTTATAAGGTCCGAAGTTGGGCTTTATTGTTGACTTACTGTCAGGCACGAAAGGAGAATAGCAAAGTGCACTGGGGAGTTAATATAATTCGATGCTGGGTATTTTTGGCTGTGACTGTGTCTGGTTACTGTTTGATGGTGACGCATTGTCACGAATTGGTCGGACTCTGGGTTCTTTGCCAGTGGGGAAGATGCTGCTTTGATCTAATAAAGATTAAAGGGGATCCTCTCTCTTGTCTTTTAAATTCACTGGGTGTACTCTTTAATTAATGCTTTACTGTCTGACAGTTCAAAAGGTCGTCCACGTTTCTTTCTACCGTTAAAGTTTTTTTTTTTTTTTTTTTTTTTTTCCCCCCCCCGTTAATTTTACAAGTCTCGTGTCCAATGACGTACGCTTTGGGTGAGCATTCTTTATGGTGGGCATACAGCGCAATGTGAACCGGATTTTCGTTCTTTGCGAAAAAAAAAAAAGGAGAAACACGAATATGAGATGGGAAATTGTACTTGGTCGACTTTTACGCTCTCACCTCCACCCTCCCACGTGCTCCTGACGATTCGAATCCTCCGTTAATACAGTTTTCGTTAGGAAGGATAAAGAGGAAGAAAAGAAAGTGGACAGAGAGAGGGAATGAAGAAGAAAGAATAAGAGCAGAAAATAATCCGATCCGTGGGGACCGGAAGGCACTTTGTTATGTAAGACCTAATTCTACGGCTAAACCCGGCAAGACTCCGTGGAGAAACGTTACGGGAATTTTCGAACGCGTCGTTTTCTACCATTAACTATGTAATCTTCATGCATTGAAATTGCTATGGTTAAAGTTCATTTGACTTTGTTGCCGAATTGATTCTCTGGACGGGTTTAAGGGTTATCGCGGCTTTCGAGGTATCGAGGGGCGCATGCGCAGGATTCGCGTGCCGTTTAAGTTTGCCGTATTAATTGAGCGACAATTGGAAGCAGCGGTGACGAGAGCTGCACTCACGCCTAATTAATTTTCGTAAATTGCTATCTCGACGTTTCAGAATTCCCATTAATAGGCGAGTATAACTTCAGTTACCGTAAACGAACTTCGGGATCTCAGGCGAAACGAAATTATAGCGATTTTTCATGGTTGGGAAATACGCGGCGGGTCTTGAGAAATTTGGGCGTGTTGCAATTTGCCTTAATTCACAGTGGGTTACATTCGATCCCTATTAAATTACGGGTTCGTTTGGAGGGAATAATTAAAAACGAAAGAAAAAGGTAGATTACGTGCAAGAACAATTAATTTAAAATTATACAGACTGCGCAACCATGAAATACGTAAATTTAACGAAGATATTGAATTTCACTAAGGAACCGTTACGTACGTGCAAGATAAAAAATTGAAAAATTTTATCCCGTGAAACGTTTATTTTTGAAAAATTAATTCTTCTCATCCTTTTCCTGTTTTTCAATATCAAGCGAAATTCAATATCAACGCCTTTGCACTTAATCTCCGTGGTGTCCTTGTCGTCGCTTCAGCATCAAAGTCCGAGTCAGCCGGATGCTGTGTGGCGTGTCGACAGTTTGAAATGCTCTTAACAAGGGTTTCCCGTCGCAAGCAGTAAGATAAGGATGGGCTGTTGCACCATAGAATAACGATATCACGTAGCGAAGAAATGAAGGGCGCCAGTGGAGAGAGCGTCGAGAGACGTCGGGAGGCGTCGCTGGATCTCAAGGAGTGCGAAGCTAGCGGTAGCGGAGGGTAGAGGCTGTGAAATTATATCCTCAGAGGGCAAAGGTCGTACCGTAATATAGCTTTGAACGAAGATTTATGCGAGCTCTCCTAGCCCATATGCTGCTCAACAACATTATATAATCTCGCCCCATTTTACTCTCCTTGTATAACGTATTTCCGCCGCGGTCCGCATTTAAAAGTCAAAGAGAGCATTGAAACGGAAATGACGCAATAGTCGAGTAAACCATTAAAAACATGTATAACAAAATTTTTATTCGAGTCAATAAAAATTTTCGTACACCTCAGAAAAAAAAAAAAATTAAATTTTTTCCAAAGGCACGAAAATACATAGTGGGCACAAGAATATGAATTCAGTATCCGCACGTCCACTGTGGATGATACTGTGGCACAAAGATCCCACCGGTCTTCCCAGTAACTTCTCACCTGCGTCTCCCAGAAGGTTTTCTCCACTCGAGCCAAGTAGAGATTCTACCAGGAGATGAACTCGAGTTCCTATTAGACGCGGGAGTGATTAGTGCAGCGCAGAAGCACGATTCTACTAAAAGTTTTTCGTATAAGAAACGCAAGTTGCTCGAACGCTGCTAGCTCGAGTGGATGAATTTAGCGCGGAGGAGATGGTAGCTCGTAGGACTGGCGTCATGCCAGACGTTGGGGGCTCTTGGGAAAAGCGTGAAAAATGTTTTTGAAATATTACACTGGCAATTTATAATCTCGTGCAATTTTATCGTGAGATTTTTGCAAACTGCACTGGGTATACGAATATTGTGTGTGGTACTAGAAAAAAATGATATTACAAAAAAAAATCGAATTTACAGAAGAAAAAAACTATCAGCCTCGTTTTTAATTTCACAAAAAAAAAAAAAAAAAAAAAACTATCATCCATTAAATCTATACAGGGTCATTATATTTATTCGCATTAGTCTCGCTTCCAAAGGCGCGATCGCATTTGTTTTGAGTTACAACCGGAAACACCCGTAGGGGGTGGTAAACTTAAAAATGTACGATTGCATTTTCGATTTCCGAGATTGGCCGGCACATTTATAGCCGACTCTACGTCGAATGTAGGTAGGTTAGGTTAGCCTATATCTCGATGAAACTGGCTAGGTCGTTACGATTTCTCTCTGAATTAGGACTCGCCGCTCACCCGTTGGATATTACAGTCGAAGAAAATTTCAGGGAGATAACCTCTCTCCTCTTTGGCAGATGCAGTCGGATCGATTAAATACGAACGATGCATGGACTCGCCTCAATACCTATGAGACGAAAAACAAGCTTCAATTTTGATGGTTACAATAAAATTTTTTCGACTAAAAAATACTACAATCCTTATTGCATTCCCAACACTACGCAGCAGTCCTAGTCACAAGGACGTCGCCGAAGTCATCCTGAAGTGTCTTACACGTGAAAATGTTTTACCGAGGATTTACCACGGGACACGAGTCGTGCGCCGGAGCTCGAGAGTAGTCATTCTGAAATCCGCGAAGCGAAAGACATTTTTTTTCCTCCCTACTTGATTCTCCGCGTGGCTTAGCGGAAAGGCGAAAAAAATTTCGAAAATCAATCTTGCACGTTTGTTTGATTGTCGAGGAAACGTTTCCAAAAGTTAAAAAAAAAAAATTCCTATTTATAAGAAAATTGAGATATCCAGCGTTCGTCTGGATCGCAGCACTTAAGGACATAAACTATTGATCAAGTCATTGGAGAAGACATAGAGGGACAGTCGGTAGGGGTGGAAAAGAAGAAACGGAGAATGGCTGATGATTATTTCATCCCTTGGGTTCGATCTGTAAATCAGGAGGCCATAGATTCCTCCCTCGGGCCAATAAAGCGCTCTCATCCCTCTTTCCGGCGTCACGCACCCCTTCGATTGAGAATCTCGACCCAGTGAGTAGACAAGACTGTCTATAGGGTTTGGGGGTGGTTATGGGACAAGCGACGCCAACGCTATTTCACTCTCTACATTAAAATAATTTTTCTTCCCTCAACTTCGGTTAGGCGCCCTGAGGATATTCCGGTGGGAACTTCACGTCTGGACCGAGGATCCAGGAGGGGT